TAATGTATATATACTAAAAGGAAAAAGAAACGCAGGGTAAACTTTTGAGGTGAATTAAATTTGTTTTTCTTTCATTTTTTTTCAGTTTTCCTATCTAACTTTTAAAATCATCTTTCAAAAAGATATAACAAAAATTTCATTTAATTTTGTCTAACAATTCTTGAGTTATTGAAGGTCATATGACGATACACCCCAAAAGTGAAAATCGAATACACTCATTATCTTCAATGTCTCTCCTGTACATCTCTCATGAGCGTTATTTCTTCTTTGCATTGAATTCATCAGAGTGATTATCTTTTAAATCCTGGCTATATTGGGCATCGGTAACTATGGCAAAAAATTAGCCATGCAACGCGCGCATGCGCGAGTGAGAGGAACACAACAGTAAGTTGACATGCTCAAAAAACCAAATTGCTGAATTGTTTCTTGCGTGAATGTAATGACGAGAATAGTCTCCTGTATAAAAGGCGGTTTTTGTGGTAGTAGGATTGCGATTTAAGAGTTGGTAGGACGAATTACCCGCTCGTAACATGGCTCTGTTTCGAGTTAACGTCATCGTCACGGTTGATTGAAAACCATCCCAGGCCCTCTCTGACAACGGGTAACAAGTTTTATTGGGGAAAATTTACAAGAAACTGTTTAGTTACCCACTGTTGCCTTTTTCAATAATTAGGTAATTCGAAAATCAGACCCCACTGAACTTCCGTAAACTGTACCAAAATTGCAAGGAATTCATATCGACTCTAAATATTGAAAAACAATGTGTATACCTCAGGTGCATCAAATGGTGCAACAGGATTTGTTGACAAAGTCTTCGTCAACATGTTGCACGCGTTTTGGGCTTTTTACTGTTTTCCCTACATGACGTCATACATTTTACGGTTGAGTAATTCTGAACACTGATTTTGGTGCATAGTAACTAAATTTCTCGTCTAACCCATTTTTGTAATTTTTGGTCATGCGGTCAAAAAGTTTCGAATATTATGCTACCCTGCGTTTCTTTTTCCTTTCAGTATATATGCATTAATAAATGAGTTGCACTCAAAATGCACGATTAAAAATAAAATTTAATTTAAAAACAGCTTTCTTTCTGCTCAACCATGAAAGCAATGATATTCAATTACATTGCCAAAACATTTCCTATGTTTTTCAAATGACGTCCTTTTTATGACAAAGAGTAGCAGAATGCAGACTTTTAACAAGATTTGTTAAAAGTCCGGCACATTAACGTTTTTGCCAGTTCCCTATAATTTTTTTTTACATGATTTTGATAACCGAATTTACTTGGTGAAAATCTTTATTTGCAGTTAAGGTGAAATACTTTTCGATATAGATAAGAAAAGCTGATAACGGAAAGCTGAAAACATGTCGTTTGTCAAAAACTTTGCCAAACAGACAGGCAAAAATAACTTCTTGAAAACTTAGTGTGTGGATTTCTAGATATTCACAACTAAATGTAATTTTCGCCACACGAAAAGTCAAATGTCGGAAATGCATTTTTTATTTCATGCGGATTTCTTAGTGACTGACCAATTAACATAACTGGAGGTGTACTATAAAAATATACATACAATGTCTTGTGTATTTTTAAGCTATCAGACAGCCTTTTATTCGTAGTTTTATCTAAATGTAAAATAATTTAAGGGTTTACTCTTAGGTTTGTTGGATGCTCCAGGAATAATAACGACATGCAGGTTGAAACTTGGTGTAAAGTTAAAGCCATCACATTTATCATAGTGCTTGGTTGTTAGATTATCATTAATGTCATTTTCCAAGAAAAAATGCAAATATGAAACAAATGTGTCAGATTCTATAGAATCTTTTATTTCAAGCTCACCAGGATATATGGTATCGACATAAGAATGGAAATTACCATTGTTAATTGATAATACATCGTCGATATATCTAAATGTCGAGTTGAAAGCCACAGCAAGTGTTTTCCTCTTTTTGCAAATAAGACCTTGAATAAATTTTGCTTCATATGAATTCAAAAATAGGTTTTGTAATATCGGGACGCAATTAGTACCCGTGTGATTTCAATAGATTGCTGTAAGATCTGGACTCCAAAAATCAAATAGATATTGTCAATCAGAAACTCAAGCATCTTTTTTATGACAACTTCAGAGTACTTGTGTGTACAATGAGAATGGTCTTTAAACAGAATAATTTTGCAAATTTAGGATTAAGGATTTACTCCTTACTTCACGACTTTGTAGCAGACGCTCTATACACTGCGCCACCTGGGTGAATCATTGAAGAATATCATTAATTGTGTACTCGAACAATAGATACTATATTTATTCGGAACTATTAAAAATTCACATTGTAGGTAGGCTACTGTTGAAGTCAAGCTATAGAGAAAATTATGGCTACCGTTTTTTATGCTTATGTCTTTCAGATTCATGATAAGATATTGCTGAATGTAGCCCTGCAGTATCAATCCAACATATTTATTTTACCACATTCTATGAACTGATTTCAACATAAATATACAGAACAGTAATCGAGATCAAAAGTCCTTGTAACAATGCAGATTGGATATGTGCAAATATGGACTTATAGAAATGCTAGAGGTGGGACCAGGCATGGAGGAGTAAGCATCCTCAAAAAATAATTGTGCAATCTTATTTTCTCAGCCATTTCTATCAGTTTTGCGTTCTCACTTCTCGGGACTTTTAAAGAGTGATATCATGACGAAATATGCAGTCTATACTAAGAGCCCCAGTGCTATAATCATGTGCGTTAATCATGTTCTTGAAGGCCAGGTTTTAAATTGCATTTGCCGTTGGCACATAGGCAACAATTGTTCTTTTGCACGTTTAAATGTCCTATTACGATTAGATAAGAAAAGATTGTAATTAACTGATTGAATTTAAACCTTACATGTTTTAAACTAGATTTCAGGTTTTAGTGTATCAGCAAGTTGTTTTCTGCAATACAAAAATCCCTGTTTTTTATGAAATAGCCAGTTAGTTTCTTTGAGGTAATTCTTTGCAAAATTATTGGTGAGATGGCAACTTTAAAGAAGATTGATCAAATTCAGCTTGCAAATTGGATTGGTAGAGAATGTCATTTCGATCTTCTATACTCAATGAACAGAGACGGTTGTACTTGCGCGAAATTCCACGAACTATGTGACAACAAAGGACCCACTGTGACTGTCTTCTTCAATGCAGACGATAATGTTTATGGTGGATATGCATCTAAAAGCTGGACAAGTAATTCAGGATGGGTAAATGACAACGTTGCTTTTTTATTTAAACTGTACACAACAACATGTGGAAACCACAACAATTTGCAAATAAATGTAAAGATCAGACATTTGCATTTGAAAAAAACTGTGGACCGTGGTTTAAAGAGTTGCCTAGTTTCAAAAGTTCTTTCATGAAGATATCAAATGTTTACAATCTTGATAAGGAATTTCTCTTTAATGTATACTGGACAAAAAAAGTTAAGGATCATCAAATTAAATATGTTTTACAAATACTGTATCATAGAAAACAGAATGCTTTTTTAATTTTAGTATCATATTTCATATTTAAAAAATGAAAATTAAACACTGGATGTGATAGATTTGTTTGAACACACGTACGAATTGTTTATTACGGCCACATTAGAATTCGGCATGTTGGGGGTAGACCTGAAGTGAGAATTTTTTTCAGAAGAGTCAAATTACGTAACTAAAATGATTTCCAGTAATTTGTATGACCTCCCTGCGATGCCCTGCATCGCAGACCCATACTGCCCATCAGCCGTCCAAGGCTAGCCTGAGGGATTTGTTGTCATTCCTCCTCCAATACTGTCTGAAGCTCCCGTCGATTTGGGGGGAGTGTAAGACGAACTGAAATGCGTTGCTAAAGAACGTTCCAGGCATGTTCAATTAACTTCAGGTCTAGAAAACGACTTGTCGGGTCCAGACGCTAAGTTGTTTCACTTTCCATGTATTGGTTTACGATTCGGACTCCATGATGTCGAGCATTATCGTACATTCAGATGAAATTCTTACCCAGAGTACATGCAGTACGTCTAACAATAGGATGAAGAAAATCATTTCGGTATTTTAAACCTGTCAGGTTGCCTTCAATAATGTGCAGATCAGTTTTGCAGTCAATACTTATGCCTGCCCAAAACATCACCAAACCTCCATTTACTCCATATCGTTTAGAAATGAAACAATCAGCATATCTTTCCCATTTTGCAATCCAAACAAGTCGTCTGTCATCATGGAAGTCAAAACAAAATCGGGACTCGTCTAAGAAGAGAACAGAACACCAATGACGTTATCGCCAAATTTCTGTGTTCTGTTGCCCACTGTTGTCGATTTCTGCGGCACTCTAATTTTAATACCGGACGTACGGCTGGTCGGCAAGCCTTGAGAATTGCTTCCTGAAGTCTGTTTCAAACTGTTTGAGTAGAAATCCGTCTGTCCGTTGCACTCAGATGGCCAGTATTAAGCTTAAGAGAACTTTGGAAGCGGTGCGTCTCTGTAAAATTAGCCGAAAAACGATCCTCACGGACTGCCGTAGACATTGGATCTTCCAATTTTAGCCTTTTTAGACAATTTTTTGCCTGTAAATATCGGTTCCATAGCCATTAATTTCGCATTGTGAAAGATAAAGTTTTTCTGCATCATGACGTTGCGTTTTTCCAGCTTCCAGCATCCCTGCTGCCATGGAGTGTTCTTCCATACTCATATGCCTCCTCATACCGTCTTATCACCAGTTCTAGCCAGATATACTGAAATTTTCTTATGTTAATTAAAGAAAACCATCTTTGATACTTCTATGCTTCCATTGTTGCACTTCCTTTTTTAATGCCACGTACTTTCTTGACCAATATGTCTCAAAACCCATTAAACACGTGTGACATAGGTATCGAATCGTGTTAATGACGTGTTTTTTAAACTACATAAGCCTTGTTGTCACATAAAATCATGGGTATGAAAATATTATTCTTGTGTAAAAATATGATCCCTAATTTATTTTGCCCAGTATAGAATTCTTTAACATGGAAAAAGAAAATGCAAGATCCATTGCTTCTGGACACAACAATGTAAAGGACCTGGCTGTTTACGCAGTGCTTGGTAAGTATTAAAAATACCTCTATCTTAGAAACTAACTTTACTAAGACAGTAATGTAAGACAATTTAATATATCTGCTGAATGAATAACACGAAACTGTTTAGGTAAATAAAATTCCAAGTCTTCATATCTTATTTTAAGACGGACCTGGCTCGATCACTCCATGGAGAATTTCTCCTTTATGGACATTACAGGTGAGAGATAGTTTTCGTAATGTCCACGGTCTCAAAGATTGTTTTTATCTAAAAATAAGTACACAAGTTTTCTTTTTTATACATGCAATGTAGTTACCTAGCCAAGATTTTCATAACGTTTGATTAGAAGTCAAAAATTTCTTGTCATTTCTTTCGGCTCTTACGTCTGATCTTTCAAAGAAATGGTCATTTGTACATTATTTTCATTTGAATAAGTATGAAATGCTGAAATTCTTTGGTAAATTAAATGTACATATTAAATTAATACACATTTATCATTTGAACGTTGTTAAAATATTGTACTCGTGGAACACTTTTTTATCGCTCACTCTCAGGAATTGGAAAAACAGCTTTCCAACGTTCTTGGTTATTTCTTTAAGGCTTGTCAAGATTTAAAAGACTTTATTTCGACTTATCAACCTCCAAAGGATCTAGATGTTCCAGACGTCAACATATTGTTTGTCGGTGCGGTTGGTGCAGGAAAGTCTAGCTTCCTTAACACAGTAAACTCAATATTCCATGGAAATATGACATCACGCGCATGTACAGGAAGTTTTGATCACAGCCTTACAACAAAAGTAAGGAAATTTGTATGTTTACACATTTTACTCATCTGATCTAAATATACAGGCCTACATTATGTTCATATAATATTTAATGAAATGCATGTGAAATTGTTTCTCAAAAAATTGTGTTTTGTAATTTAGAACCCATTATTCTTCTTTTATTTGAATTATCTATTGCAAAACATCTACAGAGAAACTGCCGTCTTGTTCTTCATGTATAATTCATAGTAAAAAAAATTAATCCTGAAAATACACCTGATTGTACATTTTCTAAGCTTAAATCAAAATACAAGACATCGATGCTTATATTGCTTCATTGGTCATTTAGTATGTTCACAATTAGTAGTGAAGAAAAGACATCATTATTTTTTTTAACTTAAGCTAAATTATATTACATTATATAGATCAAAGCATCAAACTTGCATCTCTTGGTACATGTTGCTGGCCACTTGTTTACATGTACATGTGTCAACTATATTTAGTTCCCCTATTGTGCAACTCACCTCGTATAGCAAACATGACGCTTATAAACATGTACCGAAAACAATCATATACATGTACGTTATGTCCCTTTAAAAGTTCTCCTCTTCACTAATGCATTTCATTTCATTAAGCTTCAGCAACTGCGGGTTCGGGATCCATCCACAGGATCTTACATGCATGTCCGACTTTTTGATATTCCTGGTATAGAAGAGGAGCTTTCAATCAAACAAGAAGATATAGGTTTTATCCTTGATGGTCATCTTCCAAATCAATACAAGGTAATGGGTTTCTTTCATGCATATCGTTTTTCTAATTTTGGAACAATAAGATGAAGAAAAAAATATAGTAAATGGTTATTGTTCTGGAGGATTTTATAGTATTAAGCCAAATCAGAGAATATATTTATATGCATAGCCAAATGCATAGCCAATTCTTTGACATGTTGTCAATGAAATATGCTCTAAACAAACTAACAAATATTTAGCGAATGTCGCTTCAGTCTTTTCCATGTTTGGAATATATATTTTATTCATGAATGAGATTTAATTATGATCGACATTTTTGGATAAAATGCACAATCAGACTGACTTCATAGAAAATCTTAAAGATAGCCTTTTGCTACTGTATGACCAACTGTACAAAGTTTCATACTCAGTACCATATCACATTTTGAGTCATGTACTCAGATTCTCGTTAGTAATTGTAAAGATATGCATAAAATATATGGAGATAACGAATAGCTTTGAAGTTCAAAAGTCCATTAAACTGTACAAGTCAGAAGTAGGGCAAACACAAGTCGACCTTTTAAACTTCAGAAGTGGGATCATGTGTCTTTGAGGAGTGAACATCCACCTATCACACCCACAGTGTGCCCCTTTTCATGATCTGGTAATATCAGAAAAATCCGTCTACAATTCAGTGTTTAAATAATGCATAAGTACATTGTCTAATAAATGGCTCAAGCCAAGCAAAATTTGCAAGTAAAAAAAATGCAAATCCCAGAAAATAAATAGGAAGTTGTTTTTTGTTTTTTGTTTCTTGTTTTATCGCCAGTTTTGAGCTATATTAAATATTTTATAAAATGTTCTACCCATTCTCACAAGCCTCTCCAGATGTACCTGGTTTTAAGACAGAGACACCAATCAAAGATAAAATTCACGTTGTGGCTTTTGTGATTGATGCTAGTACTATTGGAAAACTAAAGCCAGGCGTTGTACACAGACTGAGTGTTATCAAAAGACTTATTATATAATAGTGTCATTATTTGGATGTACTATGCCGAAATAGTATTCAGGGTTTGACACATGGTGCACGAGCCGGAGGCGAGTGCACTATGTGTCAAACCCTGAATACTATTTCGGCATAGTACATCCAAATAATGACACTATTATTATTATTATGCTGACTGTTTTTGTATAATATGATATGAAATGCAAATTCAACATTTTATTTTCATGAATTTAACTTCACACAGTGACTAGGTAATGTAGTTTACACAGGGCCTTATGTAACAGAATTAATTGTTTAAGTGTTAATGATAGTGGTTCTGAATTGTGACATTGCATCCGGAAAACTGGAAAATAGGTTTGACAGCCTGCTGATTAGAATTACTTTCCATATCCATAGCACACTTCAGGAGTGCTGCATCATCATTATCACTCATCTCAGTACATGTATCTGGTTAAACAGAAAATATGCAGTACATGTAAGTTAATCATCACTTTTAATCACTGCTTACATAGATATTTACAAGTATCTTTAAATTAGAGCTAAACAAAAGATCTTGTGAAATAAGATTTACAAACCTGTCACTGTACACGTGTTTTGGATTGCAACTAAAGTGCCTCTTTTACCATCACCTGACTTAATAGCTTTCCCTAAAAGAAAAGAAACAGCACTTGATTATTAAGTCCATGTAGTATACTGCACTATATTACTTCTACAAAAAGATATGTGTTTACATGCAAAATGTAATTTGGTTGCAATAATCATTACTATACTCCTCTCTCTAAATAAAAATTTAACAAACCTGCATCTTTGTGTGTAATTTTTTCACTAGGTTCTATTTTATGTCCAACACAAACACTGATAGCATCTGACATAGCCTTTTTCTGCTGATCTGAAAGATAAATATGTACATGGTTGTAAAACTATACATAATATTGTTTGTTAAACTTATATATAGAGTACATCACTGCGATAATAAAAGTGGTTACCTGAAGTATCATAGCAATAGCTAGCAAGTGATGCTTCATTTCTGTGACCGCTTATTGTTGCAATATGCCTGGATTCAAATCCACAATTGTTCAAAAGGGTAATTGTCGTAGATCGAATGCAATGATTTGTGTATTCCTTTGTTAAACCCGCACTCTTAGACAAATTTTTCATGAATGTTTTCAACTTGTTCAAACCAACTGGTTCATTTCTGTACCAAACTGTCATCGTCACTAAAGCTGTTTTTTTGGATGAAGAAAGAGTCGATCACTTCCCAAATGTCTTTTTGACAGGTATTTTTCAAAAGATTTGACTGGACAGAGAGGAGAGTTTTTAATTTCGTACATACGTGCCCCTGAACTCTCTGTCTCGTTTGTTGTTCCCTGATGATTCTTCGAAATTTCAGAAGTAAGTTTTTTTACAAAACGTTCTCCATTTTCTGACATGATTTCGAAATCATGTACCTTCAAATTTTGAAGGTTTTCTTGTCCTCTTCTGCAGAAATATAACACAATTTCAAAAATTACTTTATTTAAAAGTCCCTGCGGTGTAGCAGTATTAAAAGCTAGCTTATGCTCATAAAGTTTTCTGATATCTTTTGCCAAAATAGCAGGGTGGTGGTTGACTCCCCCCTTGCCCTCTGACCTAGTTTTTCTTAGAAAGGACGAAAAACAGCTGTTTGCAGGGCCAAAACCCGGGTCACTGATAATATCAATTGTTGAACAGTTTTCTTTCATGTACCTGCAAATCCCCTGACGTATATTTAACAAAGAGTTCTTTTTGTAAAGTTCCCCCGTTTTTGTTCTTACATTGCTGTAGAAATCCTGTAAGCATTCACAAAGATCAGTTTTGTTGTATTTCAATATATCGGTTTCTCTCCCCCTTTCACGCAAAAAGTCTGTAAATATTCTGATGGAAAAATTTGTAGCATGTTTCGTTTTTATCGACATAAAATAACTTTCTTTAAAGTCACTTGGCTTTATCTTTCCAAATCTAGACATTGCGCACCTTTACTTGAGCTTGCACTTTCCAAAGCAGACGAGAAATCAAGTGAAGTGCGCTTTGCACTTTCACCCACATTTCCTATCATTTTAAGCGTTTTATAGACCTCGCTTTCGTGGCTTGACATTGTAGTGTAAAATAAAGAATTTGAGCATATGTACGGGAATGTCCGGATTGCTCTTAAAATTCCTTACGAATTTTAAATGTTTTGGAATTGAAGAAATTTATTTTATTTGTGTGTGTGGCTACGGTACAAATACTATGTTTAATATACGTAAAATATCTTCTAACATAACAACGGACGTTGTAGCGTAATCGGTAGCGAGTCGGATTCCTGATCCTACGAACTGCCGCGTTGAGAGTTCGAGCCCGATCGTGGGTACGATCAAATTTTCTGAAAAAAAGTCAAAGATGTGCTCTATTTCGGCATAGTATGCTTACGCTATATAAATCCTTAGACCACTATGCGAAAATAGTAGGGTATGGGTTATATAGAGACAAACTCACAGGAAGCATAATAATTGTGGATAGAGGTAAATGTTAAATTGTAAACCTTATATATTCAATGGTCTTTATGTGATTCGTTGTAAATGCTTGTATGTGATATTATTTCAACTAAAAGAAGTCATTTAAACAAGTCTTACCTAATGTAACTGTGTGAAAACTATGATTCAATTTTGTTTTTCCGTTATCAATAAAAATGGAAAGGTTCTTAAATATATTAACCATATTTCTCATTGTTTCAGGTGTTCCTTTGGTTGTTCTTTTAACAAAGTTGGATAAGGTGTGTCAGCTTGTGAGAAATGATATCACAAACATCTTTAAAATTGAAATGGTTGAAGAAAAAGTCAATGAGGTTGCACAAATGATAGCCATTCCTAGATCACACGTTCTTCCGGTGAAAAACTACGAAAAAGAAACCGAATTGCAAACTGAATTAAGCATACTAGCTCTACGAGCGATGAAACAGATTCTCACATTTGCCAATGATTACTTTGAGAATTACCTGGATATGGCAGTCATCCCAAACAAAACCTTCGCTCAGTTTAAAAGCAATGACTGATCCGTGATAAAACAGACTGAAGACATTTGTTTCCCTAATCTTTACATTCATTTCAATTAAAACAAGCAAATTAAAAGAAGTGTGGTCAACCGCTTTCGGTGTTTTTGTGGGTGAGATGTCATTTTTATGAATATTGTGTCAAATATGAACGCTTTGTCATATGTCCTTTAGAAATAACAAACGATTTTTTAAATAAGGTCAATCGTGAAGGTCAAGGAGTCAGAAATCATACCATGCTCGGAAATATCTTGTCACAGGTATTTAACATGTCAAATAGGAAAGCCCCATCTTTTTTCAATATAAGGAACAAGATGTATTTGTGAAACCCTGATGACCGCGTATGGCAACATAGCGAAGATTAAATTTTTCTCAAATGCAAAAAAATATATATATTTTACTCAAAGTAGGGTTTTCCAACAAGAAATACAACTGTGAAATACGAAATCCCTAGCATCACCTGTTTAAAAGTTATGGCCGGGATAAATTTTGAAAGATAGGTCAAACTCCAGGGTCAAAGGGCAAAATTGTAGGTTTCTTAAGAAAGGTCTTGTCACAAGTAATACTCATGTGTAGGATGAAAACCCTAACCCTAACCGTTCAAAAGTTATGGTGAGGTGGGTCAATCCCCAAGGTTAAGGTCATTCTTGATATCCAAAGTTCTGTCAGAAAGATAAAACATGCGAAATATGAAAGTCTTAGATCCAACCCTTCAAAGATCCAAAGGTTATGGTCAAGTTTAGTTTTTTTTAACAATTTAAAAGCCAAGGTCAGAGTCAATGGGTCAGAGTTCTTGAAATTCAATAAAAGGTCTGCGTACAAGGATTACAAAAGTGAAGTATAAATTTAAGCCCCAGTCCTTACTTTTCAAAACTTTTGCCAAGGTTCAAGTTTTTTTCCAATATACGAAAATCTCCAAGTTCAAGGTCAAAAGGTCAAGGTTGACTGTATCAAATAAAAGGTTTAGCCACAAAAAATACATATGTGAAATATGAAAGTCCTAGTAAGTACCATTCTAACTTTTGCGAAAGCGGGGGACAACAATCAAAGTGATACAGTAAGAAACATCAGGGTTTATTTCCTTTGAAATGTAATTAGAATTATCAGTGCATTTTAGTTTGAGACTTTAATAACAAGTAGAATATAAATCTAGATGAGCTTGATAATCTTAATAACTCTTGTGCATAACTTGTTAAACTTTTTAAGCGTCTTCCTCTTTAAGAACGATCCTTGATTCTGTTTTAAGTCATTTAGTACCCGTTTGTGTATGCCGTAAGTAAAATAAATCAAGTAATGAATAATACAGGTTGTGTTCACTCTCTATGACACTTGATTTTACTTCATTTTTGAGAGGTCTAATTTGATTCTATTCGACGGAGGTCATCTAAACGGCAGCTTTTTTATCAAATAGGTCTGTATTTCCTGTTGTTGTCGGTTCTCGTACATATTGTTTTCAATTTTATCTTCTCCCAAACAACAAGGCAAAATCTAAGCAAATTTAGCACAGAGCATCTAAGAGTAAAGAGAAAGATTTTTTTTACTAATAAAGGGCACATATATAGTTCAAAGGGAGAAACTAAAAAAAAAAGATCATAATTTGATGGGGTCATTCAAAATCTTTTCAAGACCTGTTGAACAAGAAAAGATGAAAGTCAGATGAAAGTTAACCAACAGAGTGTAAATTCATGTTTCTTCACATTATGACCCAAAGTGAGAGGTTGAGGCAACTCATGGATATCACATATTTACTAAACAAAAATTATAGAGATGTAAAACCCTACATTTATCTTTATGAAAAAAAAATAATAAATTCATATTTATTTGGATGCATCCATAAGTAGTTTAAATTAATGTTCAACTTTGTTAAAATCATGACAGTTGGGGTCAAATTGGACCAATATTTAAATTATTTGTGAGGGTAAAGATAGTATTTATTTCTCAAAAATGATAAAATTTATTTTATAGAAGCATTCATATGTGATATCTTTTTATGTTTGTTCAAACCATGAACCCAAGAAATAGTGAGGGTCAATATAATCAAATAGAGTTTTCACACGCAAAATCATGATAGTCATAAGAATATAGAGCATCCACTTTTACCGTATGTTTGGATCTGTTTTGACTCCAGGGAGAAGCCTTAGGGTAAAATAAGGGCAATATGTCAATATCAAAGAAATACATAAACAAAATTTGTAGGAATCATATAATCAGAAAAAGCAAACCCAATGTCAGACTTATTAATATGGAAGCATCCACTGAAAAGGTACAATGCATGTTAAAATTTGTTGAAATTTTAATGCCGGGTAGCGTGGCATTACAATAATGAATATGCGATTAAAGGTATACAAAGCAACATATAAACAATTTGAAAGTCAAAAAGGTACATGTAACTCAGGGTATAAATAGTAAACTAACAATTATTATGGGAAAATTCAGTCAACATTTGACTCAGTCATAATTTGTATTTGTCGACAAGGTCATTGTATCGACAATAGATCTTACGAAATTATTACTTTTAACGAATCTTCTTATATTCTTGTTCAATCAAATTATTTGTCAATAACCTACCTCGGTTAAGAAATTGTTCATAGGCAGAGCATACTCTTGCATATCGAATCAAATTAATGATATAAACTATGTGTGCAGGGGATGAAACAAAGACCTTGGTATTTGATATCCGGATTAATGAGGCCTAGTCTAATTCGAGTGCGCATGACTTTTGCGCAGCCTTTTAATTCACACAAATGCGACAGAACACTTTCCAAAATATTTTGATTTTGATATAAAATTAACATTATCTGAAACGCCTACTGATCTGAATATGTGATTTGACAACAATATTTGGAAAAACACGCTGAAATGGCTCTAACGACGTCACTGTTTACCGATTTTGTAAGCAGTGCGTGACGCAAAAGAATGGTATTTGACTCGCTTATATGTTCGTAGAGATCCATGGATATTTTACATGTACCAAAAACTGATGACAGAACATCAGAAGAAACATAGCAACAATCTAAATATTGCTATTTTTACCAAGAAAATTATCTGCACCGATATGTATTTATACCAAAATATGGCAATTTTAGAGGTATTGGGCATCGATAAAATAAACCTATTGTATCGATATAATAAAACAGTTAAAGTATATGCTTGAGGGAGTCATCAAGATTCCAGTTCCCCAAGAGCAAGTATATTTCCCGAGGCGCTTGCTCAGTGATATATTTTAACTGTATACTATGACTGGTAATGACCTACATGCAAATGAATTTATCCCGCTTCACATAGTTGTATATATTACTGACTGGATGCTAGATACATGTAATCAAATGCTATTTTCCGTATTACGTCGCCGTCAAGGAGTAAAACTTAATTCTAGCACGCGATTCCCTTCCAAAAATCGTTATTGTATAAACAATGGCGGCTTAAAATTAAAACGGTTTGCAGTCTTAGCTTGTCACTAGTTATGATATCTTATGTCGGTTGTTATTGGGTTTAAACTTGAAATATTCATTAGAGGCTCATATATTTTTTTTTATTTAAAAAGGTCCTCAGCGGGATAAATTTGTAACACAGTCAGTAAGGAACCTAATATCAAGTAATACAGGGTTTGAAATGGAAATCGGTAATGGAGGAGGCAAAGATTCGCCGAAAAACGGATTTCCATTTCACACCTGTTTAACACTATATTAGGTCCTCAACTGATTGTGTAATTAATATCATGGCTTTGGGTAAACGTCCTTAAGATTAGCTTGGTAATAAGGTAAAAAAAATCATCATTTTTTTTTAAGCTATTAAAATAAATATATATATATTCCTTTCTATGCCATATATTGTGCCAAAGAGGTTTTAATGACATATATTTGATTTAGAGAGCGCCTATGTCAATACATTGGGGTGAAGGAAATTTTGTTGTTTACAGTAAGATTATATGCAATTGCATTAATGGTAACAACTTCACACAAGTAGAGCTTACGTGTGTCCTGAAGGAATGTCTTGACCTTATTTCAAGGTAATCTTAGTACATAGAAGGACACTTGCAGAAAAGATGTACATAAATTTTAGTCGGTACATTACTTTTTAGTATTATAAATGTAGGATTACAATATTACATAACATTTCAAACGAAAAGTTCGTGGTAAAAGTAAATCATACCCTAGAACCAAGACCATGTTGGCGAGTGTAATGTCACTGCCAGAAAAAAAAAAGTGAAATTATAATGAAGATACATCCATAACTTTATGTTTCACGAACATACTTTAAAGAAATGTATTTCTGCATACAGGTTGTGTCACTTTTTACAAAAAAGGTCAGTGGGACAAAATTTAAGGAAAAAATGCACTGAAATAAATTAAGGGTAACTATTCATACGTTTTTTTTTTTCATATTTCTTTTAAATCCTTTGAATCCAGTTATAGAAAGAACAAAAGAAAAGATAAATTTATAAAGTTGCTCGGTTTAACCCTTCCTTAAATACAACACTCAAGTGAAGAATCCTTAATTTGTCAAAGGAAACAAAATATCTACTTTTCATTGTTGTTCAATGTGGTGAATGATGAGCATTGAATTTTAGTGCATATATCTATAATATTAAATATTTAAATCATTAAATAAATTGCAGTACAAAATTACAAGTAAAATGAAATACTAATAATCGGTTTAAGGCTGTTTCCGTGTCACGTTTTTGTTTTGATGGCCGCAGTGGATAAGATTCGTCCTTATGTAGCTTAGAAAATTTTCAATAGCTTCACTTGCAATCAGGCATTGGATTTTATCGTTGACGCCATTGGTGTCCATTGATAACACCTTTTTCCCGTGAAGAACAATAAAAAAGACACAATTGTGCATTCATTTTTCTAATCAACATCCTGGCACTATCAGCCCTTCTTAAAACACGTGTATATGCAGATGACAATTTAGAAGCTAGATCCTGAAAAACGGAGAATGATCTGAATGCACATTCAATTTATACAATTAACTATAACTATCATCATCTATATATGTATGACGAGCGGAATATTTCACACAAAATGGGCACATCATCAATATTGTCAAAATTACAAAGGTGTCCATTTTCATGCTCACAGTATAATCGTTATTCCTTGCTGAGTGAAAATTAATATATACGTGCCTTTATTTACAGGGCAATTTATATGTTTTGTTGATTTTAACTGCCTACCGTACATAAATTGTTTTCCGTGTATTCTAAAACGAAAGTAAAACATTTTTGGAGAACATTTCACATCCGCTCTTCGTAAAGGTATATAATGTTTTAGTTGTTACTTAGAATTAGTATCTCGTTTTATTGAAATATTTAAACAATAAATTTTTTCGATGATTGTTAGTACAGGAGTTAAAATAATATATAGTTGTTGTAGAAAAATACAGGCATTTATATAAGAGCTGTATAACCCTTGTAATCGTTTAACTACAACCTTAACGTTAATTCCTGTACTAACAAACATAAAAAAAATATTGTTTATATACATTTAAAGAGTAAGAAATTATTAGTTAATATCATAGGATTTTTATTAGATGAAATGTATTGTACTTTTGATATAAACGTCATTGTACGTTTTAAGGTTCATAAAGCCTCTGTTCACTCATATGAAATGTAGCTTGAACCTTAATGATTTTCCAAAAGAAAATTATTTTGTAAGTAAAATACCGACAAGTATAGCATAGCTTGCTGGGCAAAATTGGACAAAAAACACTTCAACTTGGCAAATTTATAAAGGAATAATAGACAATTCAATTATGTCATTAAGAGTTATCCCTCTTATCAGAGTATCAATGACCCTTAATGAAAGTCATGGGACAACAGTTGGTGAAGAAATTTATTTATTATATAGGCATTAGCTAATAAATAGTCTCTATTAAAATACTACCAAAAATCTAGAGAATTTTAGCGTTTAATATCTTGACGTTTTATTGAACGCTAATATTTCATTACGTATATGAGTATGCCCGAAACATTCCGAATACGAGCGTTCAATATCGAACGCCCCGATGTAAACAAAAAAAAAGTCGTCTGGTCAAATTCTCAGAGCGAAATTAAATAAAAAGAAGTATTATTTAGGTAAGATATGTGTATTTTTCACACTAAAATAAAATTATTTATTAAAATACAGTACATATTAGACCAATTAAAACCTAATTAAGCAAATCATATCGCTCGATAGGGTCATCGGAATGATGCGATATTGAACGCTAACAGGACAGACGTTAATTTGAATACCGATACAAAAAATTATAAATTTTAGGTTTTTTTAGTTGGAATATTTATTATAAATTAAGTAGAAATGTTTTGGCTATATAATAAAGGAGTTATTGAACTTATATCGGTGAATATTGGCATTTCGTTTACAATCTCGTTGGCTGTTCAAATGCACTAGTCTCGTTTACCCCAGACTCTCGCTCTCGAGACTTTGCCCGAGCGAGAGTTTGGTCTGATTTCTATTTAATTTTTGTAATTTCAAATCGAGGCTTACCGAGAAATCGGTATGGATTTTCATTGGCTGATACATTCTCTTCGATGCTAAGATCTGTATTCTTTAAATAGGTCAGAGGCTGCGCCTTTACTTTTCTCTGGTTTTATAATAAAATACCTCTCTCTGCTTTACAAGGAACAAAAAACGTACATATCTTTGTTTAAAAAGTAAATTCTCACATGTATTTTCATGGGAGTCGCCATTTTGTTAGCAGGTTTAGCGACCTCTACTGGTTACAGAAATTAAATAGGAATTAGACCAGACTCTCGCTCGGGCAAAGTCTCGAGAGCAAGAGTCTGGGGTAAACGAGACTACAAATGCACTCGCAGGCTCGTGCATTTGAACAGCCAACTCGTGGCAATATTCACCGATATAAGTTCAATAACCCTATAATACTGGGGTACAAATATGTAATAAGCTACATACAATGTATAGGAAACTTTAATTTTGCTACATTTGTTGACAAAGATAATTCTTAGCACATATTTTTTTTCAAGAAAAAAATGATGTAGTTCTTTTGAATAATGCTGAATATTTTTATTGGTAACATAAGATATGTAATGAAAAAAAAAATTTTTGTAAATATTATGAGTGTCGTGAATTACTAAATCATTGAAAATGTGTATAGATCATGAAATTAAATACCATATAATGCGATATACCACCGATTATGATTGGCAACTTCAAGTACAGATCAATGCAAGATAAAATCTTAGAAACCATTACAATGCATAATAAATGATTATGTTCTTTCTAGATAATCAAAGAAATTGTTTATGTACATGGTTATTTTCATTTTTATTTATAATTAAGATGAAAAATTCATTTGAACGGTATTCAACTTTTTCTTTATTAACATTTTGAATATCCATATTATTCATTTCTTAGTAAGCGGTATGTTTGGAATTTGCAAATGCCAAATACAAAACCAGATAGCAGAATGGATAGAGAAGGAATGTCATTTGGAGCTTCTGTACAGGATTAGTCTCCATGGATGTACCCCTCAGAAGTTCCATGAGTTATGTGACAACAAGGGACCTACAGTGACTGTCTTCTACAACACAGACAACAATCTGTACGGAGGATACACGTCAAAGAGCTGGGAAAATAGTGGAGGATGGTTAAGAGACGAAAAGTCATTTCTGTTTAAAATTTTGAGTAACGGTAAATGGAAACCCAGAATATTTTCTCATATTAAAACGAACATAAGTACAAATGTTTTAAGGAAAAGCAGTTATGGACCTTGGTTCGAGGATTTAGGATCCTTTAGTGGTTCTCTTGAGAAAACCCTTGACCATTATTCACTGAGTAAAGGTGGCTTATTTCGCGGCAGTTACTATGACGTTGGAGGAGAGAACGCACAATCCATTGCAAACGGACATAATAATGTCTTCGACCTAGAGGTATATCTCGTTAAAGGTAATGAATGACCCAATGTAGATCTTTCCATATGTAAAATATTCATTTTAAAAGTAACAATAATAATGACGTTCTTTTAGTGGACTTTTACGAAGAGCGCTGACTTTAACAGTTGACGCCTTACTTTTACATTAATTTAGTAAAATGTACGGAGGCTCTTATACGTCGATATAAATATTTAGCTCAACATTTAATTAAATGAAAATAACGGGTTATTTCAATGCACATACGAGTTGTCCTTGAATAAAAACGAAACCACCTTACCTTCAACTCCGGGTCTTTACATGTTTACATGAAAGCTTTTCTTATGTATTATCAATTCTGTATCTCTGTACATTATACAAGTTTAAATGTCCAAGTAAATCGTCAACTGTAGAAGTCAGTGCTTCTCGTAAAAGTCCAGAGGTGAAGAACATTTCGTGATTTAAATTATTTTTTGCGTAGTACACATTATATATATTGGATTAATTCCTTATACTACACGTAGTATTTTGTTTGCACTTAATCTTTAATTCTTATTGTTCATTATTATTATAGATGGTCCACAGATTAACACCTGTGATCCTTGGAGAGATCCACCAGTCTGGGAACCAGCGGTAAAAAATCAAAAAAAAAAAATCAAAAACTCTAAAAATATTTTAATTAAGGACAGATAATGCACACTTTTGTGAAAAATATTATTAATGTCAACTTGGGCCATGTTTTAATGAATAATATGAATTAGTTTCACTGCGCAATTTTTAATTATTGTATTCAAAATTGCCCCCCAAAAAAGGAAATTGAAGTGAAAAATATTTATATAGAATAATGAGGATGGTTTCAGAGGGGTTGAATTTTGATAAATGATGTTCTAGAAATTTATTTTGGAATCATGATCATTTGTAATGAAATTGGATCAAAAAATTTAAACCAATCCAGGCATCCAATTTTCGTTTGTATCATCTGTTCGTAAATAAAAATTTGTGTAGTTTGAGGGAAATAGCTGTAATGATGTAAGCAATTTTTATAGGAAGACTTACGTATAATTAGCTAATTAATAGGTTACTTTTAAAAGATAAATTTATGTACAGTTTTGATATTAATGAACATACTATGATAAATCAGCTATTCATACGCATATGATTTATTTTGAGAGCTTTAATAACAAAATGGTAAAACATTTGGGGAAAACATTTAGTCATTTCAATGTTTGGAAATGTCATGGTCATTTTTCAAAGTCTTTAGTTCTTTAAAGAATAGTGTTGTTAACATTTGCCTGTTCCTTGTTAGGGAAATCAAGACAATAACTGCTTACTTTTATAGACGTTTCTTGAACTTAAAAACTACGTATTAGACTATGTTCCTATGGAAGAAGTTGAAGTCCCAGAAGCAAACATTCTTCTTGTTGGACAAGTTGGTGCTGGGAAATCAAGTTTGCTTAACACTTTCAATTCCATATTTAAAGGAGAAGTGACGTCACGAGCCTGGACAGGAAGTTCTGAACACAGCATCACTACAAGTGTAAAACGCTATAAATTTTCCCTCCGGGAGTAGTATAAGCCTCCTAGCTAGTGCGGTAGTGACGTCATAACCGGAAGTGGTCTAGCGGAAGCGGAAGTGGGCTAGCCAGAAATGTCCTAGCCGGAAGCCGGCTGAATGGCCAGTTCAACTGACCTAACACCCCACCCCCCACCCCTAGCCTTAACTAACCCTAACTAACCCTAACCCCCTAGCCCTAACTAACCCTAACCCCCTAGCCCTGACTAACCCTAACCCCCTAGCCCTAACTAACCCTAACTAACCTTAACCCTAACCCTAACTAACCCTAACCCCCTAACCCTAACTAACCCTAACCCTAACCCTGACCCCCTAACCCTAACTATCCCTATCCCCCCTAGCCCTAACTAACCCTAACCCTAACTAACCCTAACTAGCCCTACCCCCTAACCCTAGCCCCCCTATCCCTAACTCTGGGCTAGGTGGGCCAGTATATAACCCCTAAATATGGTGTTTACACTATGTTTACATTGGTACGTTGGTACTACGTTTTGTTTATGCGCCGTGTGCAAAACATTTCAAGAATGTCATTATGACGTCACGCATTCATTCACAGTCTAGCCAGTCTAGCCTAAACCAGTTCAAACTGGATTTTTTTACTGAAAACAATAACAAATAACACACACAAGACAGATTATAACAAGAATCAATACGTTTTACCTGCGTTTTTATACCTGTTTGCATCACCTGTAAAGAACCGTGTGCAAAAAATTAGGGTCGTGTGCAAAAGAAATATACCTTTTACCTGTGTTTCCTTATATTCCTCTTGCATCATCTATAAAGTGCCGTGTGCAAAAAGTACGATAAAACTTACCGATTCATTGTGACGTCATCCATGTCAGCGAGCTACCCTATGCATTATGACGTCATACACTTGTAAAATTAAAGTTTCATTTTCACTTTTGTTTCTAAGAATTTAGATTTTCAAAAAATGTAGAACTATCTTTTGTTTTTCCTCTGTTTTACTTTGATGATTTTCCTGCTGTGAAGCTTTTCTTGTATAAAGCTCAATTTCTCCATGACCACGGAAGTAAACATCCTGATGCATTCTTGTCATGTGAATGTTGAGAGCGTGTTCATTTTTGAAATCTCCTTTCTGACAGACCTATCCCACAGGTAAGTTTGTCTTATTTTTGTTTACATTTCCTATGAAGGTGTCATCTTTACATTTAACCATGATTTATATGTAAAGTTCTATTTTGAATTTTAATACTGTATTCATCCTCATTTCATGTGATTTACAGTTGTATAACCTGCATGTAACTCAGAGTGCATTTAATATTTGTATGATGGGTCATTCTATGATTGAATTTCAATCAGAAAAATATTCACTTAATTTTGGTAAAATACATGGTATTTTTTACATTTCTGTCCCTTTTATCTGTAAATTATTGCTTTACTTACATTGTAAAATGAGGTTAAATGTGTATCACTGTATTGTATAATTTTTCAGGATCAGCTGAGATGTTATTTCACTGGATTATTTTAATGGATAGGCTTATCGGGCATATAGTTGGATATCTCTGGTAAGTTTGTCTTGTTTCTTTTTTAATTGTTTACATTTCCTATCAAGGTCATCTTTGCATTTAAGCATGTTTATATGGTTAATTTAATTACTGTGCAATACTTATGTGATCTGTTGTCTCTAACTTACATTCATATAAGCACACCCTTATTTAACCTAAAATATATTAACACATGATTAAGGGATCTTCAGAATATTATTAAGTCCTTTTGTATAAATCATGACATAATTTCATAATTCATTATGTATGTT